AAAGGTCAGCTACATTACAGTTCCAGACTTTATTTTCCTAAGATATCTGAAATAAGGCAATTGTAGAATACTAGGAACTATACTTCGACTCTAAAACCCTATATTAAAATGTCATGTTTAGCAGCATAAACTTGGAAAAATTACTTCTCCTTCCAAACTAAAGGATAACTAAGATTGGACAAAACTTGCACGTATACCTCATTCAACTACATAAACATGAGGTGATTGCACAGTTTTTTTATGAGATGCATTAAGATCAATTTTAATAAATTTTTATATTACGTGTGAATAATACATATAAACTATGACTTAAATTTTTTTTGTATAATAATATAAACAGGAATTTACAAAATCAATATTTTAATAGAACCGTGGTGCAACCCTGATGTAACCCGCCATAGTTTTAGAAATGTTATGTCCTAGAAACTACGTAAAATAGCATTTTTGTGTTATTAAATTAAAGATATTAAGCTTAAATAGAGTATGAAAATTTAAAATAACTAAATCTGCTTCTTAGTCAATTACCTAACTTTTATAATAAACTTAAACTTTTCTGGTATTCCTGTATCAGAAAATAAAATAAATTGAACCCAAAGTGAAATATACCCAAAAGCTAGTTGAAAGTTAATTTTCTCTCTAGCTAATAATTTTTCTAAATGTGAAACATTGGCCCTTAATCCTGCTGCCATTTTGACTTTTCATCAGAAAAAATTAAAACAAATTTCTAATTTATGACTCTATTCACCAAAATATGTAGGAAGTCCTTTATATTTTCTGTGATATATATCCTAGGAGGCATATGATTTAATTTGTGGTGTAAATTTTGAGATTAATAGAATCCTCTTTTATATTTAAATATTAAAGTATATATTTTCAAACATAATATAGCTTCTATAATGTGTTGTATGTAATAAAGGGGTTTTCCTCCTACCTGTGGAAATAAACTGTTCACTTAATTAGGTACGTGATTAATGTTATGCATGTGGATTCTTATACCAGCTTCTCAAGCTCTTCAAGTCCTCAGGGAGGTCCATTGAAGAAACACACTAACTCTTTTCTGGGACAGAAAGGTATCAGGAATACTTTTAAAATAGTAAACAGGTGAATGTTTGTGGAGTAATGAACTACATGATGAAAATGATTACCTGAAGGAACTTTGGCTTCTGGCTGGAAAAAAAAAAAAAGTGATCCATCAGTGGAAAAGAAACCTAATGATACAAGATATAGTCCCAACTCTGATGCTAAATAGCTATATGCCACTAAGATAATAAATTCTCTGATTTCCAGTTTGCTTTTTCTGGGAAGATAACATGCACATTCTCTGGAAATCCTGGAGACATGTGATAAAATAATATGGAAGCGTAACTTATGACAGGATTTACAATCTTCAATAAAGTTTGGTTTCTTAACTTTAAAGTGCTATACTTCTAAGTTGTATGAGAAGCAGATTTAGACTCCTTGAGTATTCTATTCCTTGAGAAGAGAGAAATACAAATACATGAATAGGAAATATTGACAGGAGAGAGGGAATGGTGTACAGATAATAATGTTCTATATAATAGAACCTTAGAATATTAGAGCTCTGGCAGAGATAAAGGTCAAACTTTTTGAGTTGAATTTAGTCTTGTCTTGGGGAATTCTACATACTAATGTATAAGCTACTACCTAGCTATGTACATGAGCAAGTCTTGGGGAAATTATGGAAAAATGCATAGATGTCTAGCTGGGCTCCATACCCAGGGATTGTAAATTGGTAGGTAGGAAATATTGGTTTATGGAATCTGAATGTGAAATATAAAGGAAAGAAAGTTGATACTGGAAGGCAGACTGTGAACTATCTATTAATTAAGATCATGAGCTCATTATAGATTCAGTGCAATTCCAGTTAAAATTAAGTAAGAACTTTTTGTAGACATTGAGAAGTTGATTCTACAATTTATATGTAAAAGTGAAAAGAAAAACTTAAGGGAGTCAAAACAGTTTTGAAAAAGAATAAATTTGGAATGTTTACATAATCTGAATACGACTGATTTTAGGACTTACCACAAAGCTAAAACAGCAAAGATAGTGAGATATTGGGTAAAAAAATACACTTTAATTAATAAAATGGAATAAAATGTTCAGAACCAGATTCACACATATATGGTCAATTGATTTCTGACATAATAAAAGGTAATCTTCGTTGTCTGCTCATCTTTAAAAGTGGGTTACTGAAAAGAATTCAGTGTCATTTTACATCACTTCATTCAGATATTATTTCTGATATCCCCACATCATAAAGTTACAGTCTAGACCTTCTCTAAAATATGTCCAAAGCTTGCCACAACATAATATTTCATCCCTTTCTTTGTCTTTGTTTCTCTTCATGGTGTTTATAGTCCCTGATATGTTTTCTGTTTCTCCCTAAAATAGGCCCTAAATTAATTATAAATACGTGAACAATTATGCAAATTATTTCCCTATTCTAGTCTCAATATGCTTACCTACAAAGTAAAAAAGCCATTCATTAGATCTACAGTTTCTAACCCGGTTGCCCTTCAAGAATATCTGGAGAATTAAATAAATGTAATAACTTTGTTATGTCTTCTTGGTCTACCAATGTAAATTTATTTAGATTCTAGGCATGTGTATGTGTTTTGTGTATATTTGTGTGTACGTGTGTATATATGTATGTAAAGATACATATATACACATGCATATGTATATATGCATACCATATGTACATACAAATGTATATACATACATATACATATATATCCACATATATACACATGTATATGCACACATATTTATATATATACACACCTCATATGTATAGGACTGTGTATAAACATAAATACATATATAAACATATGATATAGTAGTACCCCTTGATCCATGGGGGATATTATTCCAAGACCTCCAGTGGATACCTGAAACTTCAGATAGTACTAAGGCTTATACAAGCATAGCTCATTTCATTGAAATTTGCTTTATTGATCTTTGCAGATTTTGTGGGATTTTATTCTTTTTTGGAAATTGAAGGTTTATTGGCACCATTTTTCCAGCAATGTGTACCCACTTTGTATCTCCATGTCACATTTGATAATTCTTGTGATATTTAAAACTTTATTATAATTATGTATTTTGGTAATCTGTGATTAGTAACCTTTGATTACTATTTTAGTAGTTTTGAGGCACCATGAACTGTGCCCATATAGGAAGGCAAGCTTCATCAATCAATCTCCCAGACTTTGGGTCTCCTGATTTCCTGAGACACACAATATTGAAATTAACCCAATTAATAATGCTACAATAACTACCAAGTGTTCAAGTGAAAGTAAGAGTCACATGTGTTTAACTTTAAATCAAGCTAGAAATAATATGAAAAAAGGCTTATCATCACTGGTCATTAGAGAACTGCAAATCAAAACCACAATAAGATAGCCATCTCACCCCGATTAGAGTGGCGATCATTAAATAGTCAGGAAACAACACGTTGGCGAGGATATGGAGAAATAGGAATGCTTTTACACTGTTGGTGGAAGTGTAAATTAGCTCAACCATTGTGGAAAACAGTGTGGTGATTGCTCAAGGATCTAGAACTAGAAATATCATTTGGCCCAGCAATCCCATTACTGGGTACACACCCTAAGGATTAAAAATCATTCTACTATAAAGACACATGCCCACATGTGTTTATTACAGCACTATTTACAATAGCAAAAACTTGGAACTAACTGAAATGGCCATCCATGATAGACTGGATAAAGAAAATATGGTACATATATACCATGGATTACTATGCAGCTATAAAAAGCATGAATTCACGTCCTTTGCAGGGACATGGATGAAACTGGAAACCATGATTCTCAGCAAACTAACAAGAAAACCAAACACCACATGTTCTCACTCATAAATGGGAGTTGAACAATAAGGACACATGGACACTTGGTGGTGGGGTGTGGCATCACACACCAGGACCTGTCAGGGGCTGGGGGTCTGGGGAGGGATAGCATTAGGAGAAATACCTAACGTAGATGATGGGTTGATGGGTGCAGCAAACCACCATGGCACATGTATACCTCTGTAACAAACCTACACGTTCTGCACACATACCCCAGAAGTTAAAGTATAATAATAAAAAAAAGGTTGTGATAGTCAAAAGTGGTTAATTCTGAATAGAATGGAGGAAATGGAAATGAGAGAACAGGTTAACTGCAAATTTAGATTGTATTTAATGATCAATTATTTTTAAATAATAAAGCATTTAATATAAAAGTATTGTTTAATTTGAGTGATGGAAATAGTGTCTAGAATGTAATTGCAGATGTACCTTTTGCATCTACAATGCTTACAGACTAGAAAACTCCACACAGTGAGTTAAAAAAAGAAATGCTATCAGTATATACTTACGATGTTTCTGTATGCTTTGAGGGAAGATCACAGGATCATATAAAAAACGTATTTTCCAACCAAATAATTTTAATTAATCACTAGAAATAAGACCAAATATATGATAAGTATAATAAGAATTTTAATTAATACCCCTTCTGGTCACATTAAGAAGTTAATTAAAAATTGATATTCACTTTTTATAACCACTAACATGTTGAATTTATATTTTATATCACTTGGTTTTTATGACTTATATGTCAGAAGTTGCTCTTGATGCAGAATATGGGGGTTACATTTAGTTCTGTTCCCAATATTCACATTAAAATTGACCACTGGAGCCAGAATCCAGTGCTTTCTATCTATTAATTTTTTCAACGCAGGGCCAGTAGTGTCAATTCTCATTTTATATAGGAGTAATTGGATTCTTTTTTATTTAATAGTATTATCTGAGTCCCTAGGCAATCTCCACATTTTCACTCTTTGGGTAAAATTTTGAGTGGAATCTTGGCTAATGAATCTGTTTGTCTGTCTTTCCCCAGGGAATCAGATTTTTATTTGGAAAATCTTGTTGTCATGCTTGGGGACTGGGATCTAGAAACAAACATATTCAGCATGAAGGTCTTCAGAGAGTTCAGACACTTGAAAAACTCCAGCATGCTTCGAGCAGAAACCTTGGGTCTGGGCCTGGCCAGATCTCTCTACCTGGGTAGGTTACTCCAAATATTTTACTTCTTAGTAAGCTTCATGTAAAAATCAAGTATCTTTGAGGATTTACCAATTTAAATCAGGCTCAGGACTGAAATGATATCTAATTTGTCTTCTTTTCCAAGTAAATCAAGTATCTGCCCACTGATTTCTTATTGGAAGTGACAGTGATACAACATAAACAATAGCATCTCTATTGATAGACTAGACAGCATGAACATTTATACTAAATAATGAGTAGTCATTGCAGTTAGTATATTCCACTTTAATATGAATAATAATTTTTTTCTGCCTTAGAACTGAGATGTTTAGAGAGAATGCTACATGAAAAGGGAAGTATCTTATGTGTCTCCAATGCATATGATTTGATGTTTAAAAAAAGGGCTTTCAAAAATACTTGACACTGATGAAAACGAGCTTTTCTTCTTGCATTCCCTGGGCTGAAAGCTCCTAGGATGAAAAGATTCCCTGGTACTAATAGTCAGTCTCCCTGATGGATGCCAAAAACTCATGCTGAGATTCAGTGCTTGTCTCAAAACAGACCTGTGTCTCAACAAGCTTAACACAAATTCCACAATTAGACGCCAATGAAATATAGTCTTGAAATCTTCTCAGAAGCTATTTAAGAATTAATTTGCAACATAACACCTCATCCAAAGGGTGACACTTTTTACAGTGAAATTGATGCTGGAATTATTAACATTAGATATATTTTTATTTATTTTATATTGAGATTCATGATATTGGTAGACCTATAAATATTTCTTTTCAAAAACTAATTAAAAAAACTTCTGTGAAAAATTATAATAGCTCTTAACAGGAAAATTCTAACTCGAAAAATATTCTAAAAGAAAGAAGACCCAACAGGAGAAAACTGGGCCTGTTCTGAGGAAGCTTTACATCAATGGCATATACTTGCTGAAATAATAATAAACTCCACCTCTGCCCTCAGTCATGCTTCAGAAGAGGAGAAATTAATAATGGGTAAAGATATTAAATATTTGCAAAGTCTCTTCCTTCCCTGAGCTAATTGCACAAATTCAGAGTAGGCAGTAAATAATTGCTGTTGTTCATGGTGTTCTTTTTTGTTGTTAAATTAAGAGTGTCTATGGAATATAAATGTCAGAATGAACAATGCACTGAGTTGCTTTGTTTGTGGCAAGCAAACAGGAAATATTTTGATCAAAGTAATTGTTAGCACAATGTTTTAAATCATAAGCTTGCCTGCTTATAAGACATGCAGTTCTTTTTAAGTACAGTGGCAAGAAACAAAAGATAGAGGACAGATGCTGCACACAATCAGGTCAGTTTCTCAGACTCGTATTTGATGTATTTAGTAATGTATCATAACAAAGAAACACTGAAGATTTAAGAGATAATCTGATTGCAAGACAGCATGTTTTGTTTGTTAAAAATGTAGCTAGATATTGTAGGTCCCAGTTTTTTAAAAAAATATGTAGTATACTTCATTTGCTATTTCTGTATTAACTGTAAAAGCACTCAGTAAGGTAGAATGAATTACTGGATTAATAACCCACATTGAAAATCATTCAAAGCATGCTAGTAACAAAAACTGAAGGTAACATCCATTTTGCATTCACTTGGTACCAGGCTCTATAAAAACAAATCTATTTGTGTGCATTATCTCATTTAATTTGAATAATACAGGAATACAATGCTTGGTAAAAATCACCTAGGTGTTAATTGGTAGACTAAAACCAATCACATAAACAAAATCACAAAAACAAAATCATAAAAACATGAAGTCTAGACCAATGTCTACATAGTATTTTTGAGTAATTTTGAGTATTAATTGGTAGACTAGCACAATCAAGCAATCAGAAACAAAATCATAAAACCATGCAGTTTAAAACAATGTCTTACATAGTCTTTTTGAGAAATTTTACTTCATTGAGACTCAATTTTCTTATTAGACATTAAAATAATTACCATCTACCTATATTCTAGGGTGTTCCTGCAGAATAACTATTTCAAAATTCCTAGCATAATTCTCAACACATGTTACTTTCTAAATAAATATTAACAGCCTTCCCCACTCGTTTTTCTTTACAAGTGTAATAAATCAAAGTAATCTAACTTTGACAAATAAAAGTTGTAAGTAATAGGAATTAAATAAAACAACTTTAACAATTTAAAATGAAAAAGCACAAGCTAGAAAGGGAAAGGAGAGTAGGACTTCTGAAACAAAATACTAGAGAAGAGTCTGAGTAAGAGAAGTCACAATGATAGGACAGGACTGGCTTATTTAACAGAAGTAATGAAATGTGATTAAGTAAAGAGGATTCTGACTTTCAGAATTATACTCAGAAGGAAAAATATTGAAGTGTAGGCCTACTTCTGCACAGCTGAAGCAACAATATGTGGTAGAAACTGATAAAACAAAATCCAGAATACTGAAAGTGTTTCCCATTGAAATGTTGAAATTCCCAAGGATTATTAATGACAAGGTATGGGCTGGAGAAGTCACCAGTGGAAGCTAAGGAAAAGATAACTAACTGGTGGTCACTCTGTCTCATCAACTTCTTAAAGGCTGCTCTCTCTTATCACTGGAAACACAGAGACACACAAATAAAAATTGTAAGTAATAAATTACATGTGTTATGTATGTGTGTATATATCATATGCTAATCTATGCATATAGTACATGTGAATATACATTAATATCAAATGCACATATATTTATTCAATATCATATGCTAATATAGTTGATAAATGCATAATAATAAAACATATAATAAAACAAATAAATATGTATTCACTCAACATAAACTAGATCCAATAGTGAATACATAAATTGCTCATCCAAACAGTTTTCAGACTTTTCTTTTTTTTTTTTTTTTTTTTTTGAGACGGAGTCTCGTTCTGTCTCCCAGGCTGGAGTGCAGTGGGGCGATCCCGGCTCACTGCAAGCTCCGCCTCCCGGGTTCACGCCATTCTCCTGCCTCAGCCTCCCGAGTAGCTGGGACTTCAGGCGCCCGCCACTGCGCCTGGCTAATTTTTTGTATTTTTTAGTAGAGACGGGGTTTCACCGTGTTAGTCAGGTTGTGCTCGATCTGCTGACCTTCTGATCTGCCCTCCTTGGTCTCCCAAAGTGCTGAGATTACAGGCGTGAGCCACTGTGCCCGGCTAGTTTTAAGACTCTTAATTGTTTGGTGAGTTTTTATTTCTGAAGTTTATGAAAACATGGGGAGAAAAACAATTAGGTTCTGAAACTTTTAAGGGTTTGTAAAACAAACTCATTTCAAATGAAATATTTAACAACCTAGCATCTAACAGAAACATCAATTTTATCATCCATTAATTTCCTTCAACTTTCTCAGGTAAAAGATGAAGGCAACAATACAAATGGCTTCAGGAAATCTCACATGGGTGACGGAATTCATTCTTGTGGGAGTCTCAGATGATCCTGAGCTCCAGATTCCTCTCTTCCTGGTCTTCCTGGTGCTCTATGTGCTGACGGTGGCAGGGAACCTGGGCATCATCACCCTCACCAGTGTTGACTCTGGACTTCAAACCCCCATGTACTTTTTCCTCCGACACTTGGCTGTCATTAATCTTTGCAATTCTACTGTCATTGCCCCTAAAATGCTGGTTAACTTCCTGGTTACCAAGAAAACCATATCTTACTATGGATGTGCAGCCCAGCTGGGTGGATTCTTGGTTTTCATTGTGGCTGAGATTTTCATGCTGGCTGCAATGGGTTATGACCGCTACGTGGCTATTTGCAACCCTCTGCTCTACGCAGTAGTGGTGTCTCCAAAGGTATGTCGTCTGCTGGTGTCCCTCACATACCTTCAGAGTCTTATCACAGCCCTGACTGTCTCTTCCTGTGTGTTCTCTGTGTCATACTGTTCTTCCAACATCATCAACCATTTTTACTGTGACGATGTCCCTTTGCTAGCATTGTCCTGTTCTGATACCTACATTCCAGAAACAGCAGTGTTTATCTTTTCAGGGACCAATTTGTTTTTCTCCATGGTTGTTGTTCTGATATCCTACTTCAACATTGTTATTACCATTTTGAGGATACGTTCCTCAGAAGGACGACAAAAAGCCTTTTCCACGTGTGCTTCTCACATGATAGCTGTGGTTGTGTTCTATGGGACTCTCCTTTTCATGTATTTGCAACCAAGGAGTAATCACTCATTAGATACTGACAAAATGGCCTCGGTCTTCTACACCCTGGTCATACCAATGCTGAACCCCGTAATTTATAGCCTAAGGAACAAAAACGTGAAAGATGCACTAAAGAGATTCCTAGATAACCCATGCCGATCACTCAAACTAATGTAAATTTAAAACTAAAACTATCCTCCTTTAGTGCTTTTCATTTTTTTCCTGAAAACTGCTATTTAAAAAAAAAAAAATGGCAAGTAATTGTTAGAAATTCCATTCATTTTAGTGGAAAATGTTTAATTGTTCTTATGTCAACCTCACATACCCAAACAAGAAAACAATGTCTATAAATAATAAAAAATAATTTGCAAATAATCAGTTTGTGGACGACTTATAGATAAAATGTAAGCCACTAAAGGGTTTTTAAAATAATTTTTAAACAAGGAAGAGAAAGCATGGTAGTGCGTGTGGAGGTATGTGGCATCATTTCTTGGAAGGTGGTCAAAACACAGATCATCCTCCTTGCAAGAGACATATTTTGTTCAGCTACTAAAAATTATATTTTTAGTTTTGTAGCATTTATCCATCAAGTTCAACTTTTGTGGAACTATTTTTATCTTGTATTTAAAAATTTTTATCACAGAAAAACTACACATGGAAATAAGACTTAAGGGAAAACAGGCTAACAAATTTTTTAAAGGGGATTTTCTTTTTTCATTATTCTCAGTTGGTGTGTGCACCCAAAGCAAAATGTTGATGTTCACTCAAGTAAGACACACAATTTTTTTCCATCTCATCATAAAACATTTGTGTAAAGTTAATTGCCTTTGTTATGAAACTACAATACCAAGCAGCACTACTTTCAGCATTTTCATTCAGTGTAATTTGAAAAAAAATTTTATTAGACAAAAATTTTTTAAAAGAATATTATCTTTAAAATGTCGCCAGTTCTTCAGAGTCCTCCTGTTTTTTTAAAGAAAGTTAATAGTTACTATGAACTATATCTCTTTGCATGTAAAAGGCTACTAATGCATGATGGAGCGAGGGAGAGTGGCACTTATATGTGAAATAAAGGTAGTGTCTGGAAATAAAGTACAGTCATCATATTTTCAGGAAGGTTAGAAGCATACCCTATCCAGGGACTGTGTGACTGAGATCAGTATTTCAACTTCTAACTTTAGCCTTAAAGGAGCATAATCACTGAAGCCTTAAAGTAGCAGAATCACTGAAGGGGAATACACACTATATAAGGAGTATTTCTGGTCTCAAGGGCAACATTGATAATAGTTCGATGGCATTTGCCTTTATGTTACTTATTTGTTTATTTGTGTATCTTTTTCTACTTTATGATGTATGTACTTGGCTTCATCAACTGATCATTGTAACCAGAGAACTAAAATTCCCATTAGAAACAATTCTTTTGGGTCTGGCTAGATGAACAGCATTGGAGTAACAGCGCTAAACTCACTCTTACATTTATACCAATGTTATGCATATTACTAAATTAGTTAAGGTAAATAAGTACTCCAGTGTTTTCTACCTTTTAATTTGGCTTACATGTGTATTTTGTAAAAATAATGTTTTTTTTTTTGTATTCATTTTCTATTGCTACTGTAAGAAATCACTACAAACATAGTAGCTTGTAACAACCCAAATTTGTTATCCCACATTTCTGGGGGTCAGAAGGTCAAAGTGGGTCTCACGAGGTTAAAACCAAGATGTTGGCAGTCTGTGTTCCTACTGGAACCTCTAGGGACAATCTGTTTTGCTTTTTGCAGGTTCTAGAGGTTGCATACAGCACTTAGCTTATGTTCCCTTTCCAGCTAGCAATCTCATCACTGACCTCTGCTTCCACTGCTGTATCTCCTCTGCCTTTCACCTTCTTCTTCCCTCCCTCTCCTGTGATTGTCGTGGACTCACACAGATAATCTGTGAAAACCTCCTCATCTCATGATTCTTAATCACATCAGCAAATTCCCTTTACAATGGAATGCGACATGTTCAGATAGGTTCCTGTACCTGTCTTATTCATTAGTGCTCAATGGTATAGTCTTACAAAAGTTGACATGCTATATATCCTTTCTATATTATTTACTATAAAATTTATGTAAACAAACTATACACATGGCAGCCTTTGAATAAAAGATAAAAATCAGTTGGTTTTAAGTTTGCAAAAGTGTATACACATATACACACTCACATAACACTTGTGGCACTTTTACTCATATGTGATGAATTAACTCAATCAACCAAGCAGACAAGTTTTCAAGGAAACAAGGTAGAAAAAGTAAATTGTCAGCTCTGGTCTATGTGTTAATCATCCCATGGGGCATGTCAGCCTAAATAAGAGAGGCTCCCTAAAAGAGAATAATATTCAGGATTACAGCATTGCAATGAGAAAGCAAGTGTCATATTAATTATGTGGGTTAAGAGAAAAAAGGAAGAGAAAAAGGAAGACAAAGGGTTTTATAGAGAAACAAATTGAGGAGAATTACATAATTTTTGAGATAATTATCTTTGGCTTCAAAAATCAGTAATAAGAGTGATACTAGTCTGAGGTTGCACAGGCAGTTGCTGGACAGATGTCCTTGCAGAAGTATACATATTTTTAAGGTTGTGATGGCCTTTGAGCAATGTTGTGATTTTTGCCACCATTTATGATATTTTCGTTATCAGGCATACAAGCATGAGAACCCTCTCTTGATAGCCTTTTATGGCTTTATTTGTCAGTTCATGTATATGTGTGTGTTTTTTTTTTTTTAAACATAACTCCATTTTGATTCTGACAGCTTTCACATTTCCCCCTTTTGATCAAAATATTTTTCCAAAAGCACCAAGAGTAATTCATATTGTCATTAAGTTTTAATATTTCTTGGTGCCAAAATAGACTTGTTCTGAGTTCCTAATCCCATCTCACATTAGAGAGAGTGCTTACTGACTATGAGTAAATGACAAAACTCCATTAGCCATATTGAGCAACATGAGAGGTTTGAAGGAAGAGAATCACAGGCTAAGTCTACCTGGAATTCATTATTAAGTTCAATTCTGTCTGTTGCATAATCTTTTTGCCATCATCTCAAAGTGCTGAGTCAGCATTGTTTTGTTAGAAATTGTATTTCTGGAAAAATTTAACGAGTGACACACACAAAGTTTAAAAGTGGAAAATACAGAGTAAAATTAACAGTAGTATGAAAGTCCCAATTTGTGTAATAGTTTTGACCCTAGACTTAAAGACAACCAATTGAATAAATCAAATGCCTTTTATGCTGCCAAGTGAAAAAGGTAGGCCTGAGAATAGGGAGCCTCATTATAGAGTTTTATTCTGACATCATGGGAAAAGCTGCCTATGGCATTAAGACATCAACTTTTTGTCCTGGTTTGTAGTTTGACTGTCTGATTATGATATCAGGTGGTTTGGTAAACATTTTCTGGGGCCCATATATGAGGCAAGAGGCTTGTTCCTTAAAATTTATCTAGTTTCAGCTTATAGGGCTTTTGGAACAAAAAAAGTTTGTTTTTAGTAATTCCATAGAAAGTTGTATTGGGAGAATCTAGAAGACTTGAAAATTTAGTGTAGTCTACAGGTAAATAACAAGAACTTAAAAGCAATGCAAACTGCTATAACCGAATAATGGATATATTATACCTTTGCTTTAGAAACATGACTTTTGCTCTGCCTTGATCACATAAAAATCTCAGATATAAAAACCTCTTAAGCTAGAGAGCCAAACCAAGGCAGACTTTGGATTTTGTTTACATGCTTACAATCTTAAGGTTCCTAGGCCTGTCAGGAAGTGATAATTTTTACTTAATTCCTTGTAAGGCTGGAAACTGTTGAAATCTGGCATTTTATGCAAATTTTCAAATATGACATATTTTCAGTCAAATCCATGGTAATATGATCAATATTTCTGATTGTGTCCTCCTGTAAAGATAAATCAGATTTTTACTGAAATTATGTTATTACATAGATTGTCATAAAAATTAAGAATACTTATGAATAGTTTTTGAATTGTCAAGGAATTAAATTGGGAGAGAAATCAAAGGGTTTTAATTTTTTTCACAAAATTATCCTTTACCAAATTTGTGTAAATCATCTATAGCTTAAGAGATAATTTTTTCTTAAATCTTGAAAACAAACTATGTAAAGAATCAATAATGTTTTAAATAATGTTTTAAATAAAATAATAAAAACACTATTTTCATCAGTTATTTTTATTGCTTGATCTTGATTAGCAGTTTTATGAACCATGAGTTTTATTAATCCATAAGTTTTATGAACCTATAAGTTTTTTAAATCAGAGTTCTAGACATTTTTATTTATGTTATTGCCTTTAAAGTTGTCATAAATCTGCTCAAGAATACTTGTTAGAGTCCTTTCCATGAAAGGCAATTTTGGATTATAGCTAATTGTAAATACGTTTAGAGAAGAATTTAAAGCAATAATTGTGAATGACAAAAAGCTAGAATAGTCATGGATAAAAATCTGATGAAAGTTTTTAATTGACAAGGAAATTTATTTATTATTACCTATTACATTTTAAAATATCAGAATTATGACTGGCTGAATCACATCAGGGCTATCAGACTTTTGTAAATGTGATACAACTGAAAATCATAAAATGCGCACATCAATAATACATCCATACAAATATAACTTTAAAGAAGATTAAGCTTATCAACCAAAATTATGACTGACAATATATTAGATTTTTGTAAGTTTATGTAGATTTTGAAACAAGTATATAGATAACATACCCCTGAATGTAACCGAAAGAAGATTTAGCATCACTTAGTATTTGATAATGTTTTCCCCTTATACTTTACTAAATAAGACTAATCATTTAACAAGACATATGTTCTTGACATATGGGCCGAACTGAGAAATTTCGAACTTAATTATAGATCAGAAAATCTTCATTTTAGAGCCCAGAGCCCCATTTGCATGTGTGGAGAAGCAGTGGCACCAGCTCAGTGGTGCGAGACATCCTCACCCCCTCGGGAGACTTAGGGACACACTGCCTCTGACACCTGCTCAGCTCCCTGCCCAGGCGAGGACGCCATCTTGTGGGGTTGAGTGTCTTGAACTGAGAGCAGCAACTATGACTGAGTTGCTGTTGGTGATAACAAAAGCCTCAGCAGGTGGGGAAGATGAAAAGTAGCAGGATCAAGCTGGGAGATGGGACACCAAACAGTTGAAGAGACTGAATCAGGTGATCTTTTCAGTCAGCTACAATGGCAAGTTCTACAAGGATGTGATGGAGGTGGTGAATGATCAAAACTTCCTTATTTCAGTGATGTTCCTGTAGGTGCAGTATACTCTCGGGTGGCTCATTCACAGAATCAGAAGAGACTTTACATCATGATACTAGGATATCTGGCACCTTACCAAAGGCTAGGAATAGGAACTACAATGTTAAATCATGTCTTAAACATGTGAAAAATATGGCACTTTTGACATCTATCTGCATGTCCCGATCAGCCATGAGTCGGCAATTGACTTCTATAGGAAGTTTGGCTTTGAGATTACGGAGCCCAAGAAGAACTAATGTAAAACCATAAAGCCTGCATATGCTCATGTGCTGCAGAAAAATCTCAAATTGTCTTCTGGTCAGAATGCAGATGTGCAAAAGACAGACAACTGAACAAATTACCTTCTCAAAAGGAGAAAGAAGGAAAGCTGAAGGCAATAATATATAACCTGAAAATCATGTGCAGTGAGATATAGCAAAAGTTGAACTTCTGAGATATGAATCTAAAATACTTTAAGAGAAAAAATCTACCTCTAGAAGTAACATCATCATTTTAAATAAAAAAGACAGCATTTCCAACCTGAAAACAGGGAAATTAATTGGATCTCAGGAAGAAATTTGTCAGAAATAGATACTGTTTGCAGTTTAGAAGATGACTGTTACAGAAACAGATTTCAAAATTAAAAATCAAAACTTTTTGAATTTTATTAAAAGCAAATCAACATTTCAATAAAACCATACTGTTTTACTGTAAGGGACAAAGATTTAGTTTCATATTAGTTTATTTTAATACTAAAAAACTTATAAATATTCTTATACATTTATAGACAACCTGATTACAAACAAAATTTCTTTTATAAATTCCTCTTTAAAATTGTTTTCATGATTTATTCAGACCATTGTTGGCATGTTTGGAATTTTAATCTTGTCCTGTGCTTGCTCCTTTTAAAACAAGCATTTTACTTTAGTACAAAAATTATCACACAAGATTTTTTTTCTACAAAATTTTTTAACCTCCTTTGCCAAAAATGCATTTTCATACCCATAACTTTTGTTACATCTCTCTCATCTATTTACTAGTTTTTTTATCTTGTTTTAATTTTTTTCCTAAATCTATTTGTTGAAATAATCTTTAAACAACCTCTGAATTTTACAATATTATTTTTAAAAGAACATATTTTAGGTTTGTAAATAGTTTTTTATGAAAAAAATCTTGTTTTTGATACATTTTCTATACAGAATTATATTGATTTTGATTTATTTATTTATTTTTGCGAAGGAGTGTTGCTCTGTCGCCCAGGCTGGAGTGCAGTGATGCGATCTCGGCTCGCAGCAACCTCTGCCTACCAGGTTCAAGCGATTCTCCTGCCTCAGCCTCCTGAGTAGCTGGGATCACAGGCATGTGCCACCATGCCCAGCTAATTTTTGTATTTTTAGTAAAGACGGGGTTTTGGCATGTGGGCCAGGCTGGTCTAACTTCTGACCTCAGGAGTTGGCCTCCCAAAGTGTTGGGATTACAGGCGTGAGTCACTGTTTCTGGCCCAGAATTATATAGATATTAATTAGAATTTTAACTCTTAGTAACCTAATATCTACCAGGCAGTGTTAAACCATCTGTCATTTATCAGTATTTTATAGAATGGAAGCCATTTTATATATTTCAAAACATGTTTTCCTATAGCATAATTTTTGTATGTACTGATAGACTCTAGTATATTTACTATTTCTATATAATTTAAGAAACCATGAACAAATGTATTTTTGTTCAACAATCAGTTGATAAATTTGGAAATGACCCAGTTATTTAGTGAATGTTTATTATTTATTTAACATAAGATAACTTTACAATTTTAAATTACACGAAAAGTTTATAAACATTTATCTCATTTACATAAATTTTATTTAATTTTACCAGTTTACCTTTATTATCTATGATAATTGACATATTAAAACTAGAATATTTTCAAATTATTTTCCTATCAATAATTATTACAGCCTGTGACTCTCAGGTGTTCACTTAAGAACTTAAATTTAATTACATGAGTATTTTATCAATAATTCAAAAAATACAGTGGTTTTCATTAAACTGACAATATAAAATTACCCTTAATGTATCAAAGAATTACAGAAAGATTATTCTGTTTTAGGCTGGGTTTATAGTTTTACAACCTGTGTGTCAAATCTTGACACTTTAAACCATCTAGCCCAGACAAATATAAAAGTGACCAGTAAATTCAGGCAGAAATATATGTTGACAATCCTGCAGATTTTTCTTTCTTACTTTACCAATAATTTTAAAACCAGTGAATTTATTAAAGCTATACCTACGTCACATGAACTAAAAGTCATTTGGGTTAATTATTATATTGTATAATTTTATATGAGTGCTCACTTATTTAAGCCAATTTAAATAAAATTTCATAATGAATGGCCAACTGCACTAGGTTTTACCATGTAGATACAACATACAACAATATATTTACATATCAATAAGTTTACCTAAACACACGTATATACACACAGTGATTTTATAGTCTTTATTTTAGTCATGAGACAGTAAACTATAGAAACTCACTGGTTTATTAAAAAACAGTTGTATTCAAATTATATTTTTTATAAAATTGGTACATCCTCACATGACTAAATTTTATTTGCCTGATAGGCAATCTAATGAAGGCTGTGGACCAAAATTTTGTATAAAGCAGCACTTTCCATAGCAATTGGACTTTTTTACACTGTTTTTTCCTTTTTTCCCTTTCTTTTTAGCTTTAAGTAAATTTAGGATTAAATATTTGACACTTACATTTTTGCTAGGACTGGCTGAGTTGTACAAGAAAAACAAATTTAAGAGTAGCCTTGAATCTTTCTTTTGTCTTTTGACTAGACAAATATGAGTGGGAAACCATTTTAGTAAGTCTGGATTTTTTTCCTTTTTTTTTTTCTTTTTCCTTTTGGCCCTTGCATAGCAGACAATGTGAACTTTTATCTTATTTAACAAAGACATCTTATATTATTTCCCTGATCTTAAGAGTTTGACTTGTTTGATCTGTTAGCCAAACTTTTATAAACTTTAATTTTGTTTTTTTTAGACTATTAATCTTTTAACTATTCTACTATCCTAATTGTTAGTCAAACATAATTACATTTATATTTCCAAATTACCATGAAGCTGTTGTAGCTTGTAAAGCCATTGATTTGAAAATTCTTTAAAATCTATTTTTTTAAAAAAATGCCTTGGCTGGAATGCCATAAGAATTGAGTTTTGGCTTCACACCAGTACAAAAGTCAGTAGATTTAAAATAGGCAGAAAAGAAAAACAGAGAAATAGAAAACCTTGACAAATTTACATGTCAATTCTATAGTTTCAGGGCCCCTTTTTTTTTTTTTTTTAAGAGAGTTTGATGACCATTTGAGCTTTTAATTTTTCTTAATGTAATTTTCCCATCAATTAAACAATGTATATAAGAATGGACCATATTATATTGCTAGCTGTTATCCCAGAAAACCTGGCATGTCTTAATATTTGAAAGTAACGTTTTTATACATTAATCTCTTGAGAGAAAAGAGAAGCTTATAAATCCTGTTAGAAAATGTCAGGAGTTTTCAGGACATAGGCATGGGCAAGGACTTCATGACTAAAACACAAAAAATAATGGCAACAAAAGCCCAAATACACAAATGGGATCTAATTAAACTAAAGAGCTCCTGCACAGCGAAAGAAACTACCATCAGAGTGAAAAGGCAACCTACAGAATGGGAGAAAATTTTTGCAATCTACC